TTCCGACCATTTGAAAAATGGGGAGAAACATTGTATTCGATTGTGTTTTAATTTTTTTCTTTTGTTTTCCACTCAAATTCAGGTATCAGAAATGATCATCGGATTGGGTCCAGTGGCATGTAATTTAAAAGCCCTTTTAGTCGTGAGTCTTAGGTTCGAGCAAAGCCTTTTAAAACTCTTGATTTTTAGTCTAATTTTTAGCAAGCAGACTAAGTTTTGTTTAACTTTTACTCAATAATAATTAGGTTTCTGGAGTTTGTAAGCACATTTTGGGAATCTAAAACTACGCAAAATCAAAAAATTTTAGCCGAAATTTTTGAAAAAATATTTGAATTTTTTTTTTTTGATTTTTTTTCATTTTTTGTGGTTTTAGTCCTTTTTTCTTGTTGCTTTTGTTCTATGATTGCCGAATATGTCTAGGCTCTAGTTTTTGTTCAGTTTTTTATCTCACTACTGGAAAAAAATATTAATTTTAGAAAATATATATGGTATTTTATAAGACTATGTTCGGAACATTCAGTGAGACTACGTTCGGAGTTCGGGTATGTTTCGACTTTGAAACAACATTAGTTATCCAATTTTAAACGCTACAAGTTATGTTTTTTGGATAACATTTTATGATGATTTTTTATCAGGACGAAAAGAATAAAGTTATTTGGAATTCGAATGCCGTGTGTAGATTTGACTTATTTTTGAGCTATTTGTTTCCAGCTTTGGAAATACTGGTTTGCAATTTGAGTTTAAAAAAATGTGAAATTTTTCTATTTGAATTACCGCGAGACAATCGGTATTTTGCGACCGTGCTCGAGGTTTGTTTCAACCGTTCGCGAGCGTGCTCAACGTATTTGTCGACCGTGCTCGACGTGTGTTTCGAACGTGCTCGAAGTAAATCCCTGTCTCGACTATTCTTTATCGGTCAAACACTGACATGTGCTCGACTTTGAAAATCAAAAGGTAAAAACATGTTAACGAGCACCTCAACCCGGGTAACTATCTCGCACTGTTGAAACTATCTGTTGAGTTGCAGGATATTACTCCTATTTATTGAATGAAATTTGGAGCAGAAGTTTGGATTAATTTTTAGACTCATGTATTCAACCGGGTCAATTGAAAGTTGTACTCAACCTATTTAAATTCAAATTGATGCCAATATTTTAGGGTAACAATTTTGAGAACCCGAACCTCTGAGAATTTCGATCAACCCGGTGAATACATGAGTCGACCAGTTCTGAAATTTTGAGGTGGCTTGTCAGTTTCTGCTTCATCAGAAGTTTTACTACGCAATTTCATAAAAGTTTTTTTCAAAATAGATTAGTCTCCAAAGTTTTTGTTGATTTAGAGTCATACAGTTTTCATAGCTTGAAAACTTATAACAAGCGTCTTTTCATTAGCTCCATTTGTGAAATTGTATGAATTTTCTTGTGTAGAGTTCCACCCGGAAATTTGGGTTGAAAAGCGGACTTTCATAGTTGGATACATAGTTTGACCACCTCAACTTGGGTTCCGCGTAAACTTAAGAAAAAGTATACGCATTCCGTGTGAAAATGATAAGAAAAGAGAAAACGAGAGTTTTAATTCTGGCGTAGACTAACAAGAACTATTTTACAGTTTTCAAGTTTGTTGAGAGTAAGCAATAAGAAGAAAAGAACAATAAACTATGAAATTTGTATTCCTGAGTTTGGACGAAATACTTCGCTTAGGATCATCAGCTGGGGTCCGAGCAGAAGATGTATGCGATGCTTCGAGAATGTGTGAAGTTGCATCCAGATCAAGAATCGTGGCGGTGAAAACATCTTTTTTATCTACTGAACTTGATTCGGAATTTTCATCCGGAACTTGCTTCGTTGCTGTTGTTTTTGCTTCCGGTGTTGTATTACTGTCATCTGAAGTAAAGACCTGGTTTAACCAACTGAAAATTGAGTTGTGGCGCAATTAAAATGGTGCGATATGTTACACAAACAAGGCAGAAGTACGCCATCTATTTTTAACTAATTAAACAAAAAAACTCATTTTAACTAACTTTAACTATATTCCACTTTGCTTAAATCTTAAAAATTCGCAACTTCCGAGAATCAGCCAATGTGTAAACCTCCAAAAAAATCTAATTGTCAGTTTACCCAAATCTCAACCCTCCCACTAAATTGACTAAATGAATTATCGCCACCCCCACATCCATTTTTCGGCTGTTTTCAATTTGCCGACCGACGCAAAATTAGCTGAATAGTTATAGTTTACCAATAAAAAAAATATAGTACATTTTTGAAAATTAATTTTTATAGTTGAAAATTAAGGAAGAAGAATGATCTTTTGAGGAGAAGCAACATATTTAACTAGCCAACAGAGTTGGGTGAAAAATGAAAAAAAAAACTTGAAAGAATTTGCCTTCCATTTAACAATGAAAATACACTGAATTAGAAAAAAATAAAAGTAAAACCACAACGAAACTATCTTTGAGACTGAACAATTTATTAAAAATTTTCTGGAAAAAAAGCAAAAACAAAAACTATCGCAACCTATTGAAGAGTCTGAGGAGCTACATTCATTTACTCTAAAATCACATACAACGCAAAGAGTTTGCCACCTAGTAAAAAAGTTTCTCTAATTTCAGCATTATTATTGTATGCTGCAGTCTTAAGCGCTGTCCTGTCCTTGACATTTGTTTTGTAGACGTCAAGGAGAATAATTACGAGGCCAAACCGTGCACTCGATAGACGCACAGTTTGGTGTCTGCAGATCACTGGAACCCAAAGACAAGTCTTTAAACATGTTCATGTTCCAAAATGCAGGTGGATTCCATTAACCTGTAGCGTAATTTTTGCCAACACATTTTTTTGTCGAGGGTTCCGAAACAAGCAAATATAGCTAGTTGTTCCGGATTCCATAAATTTAAGCTGATTTCCAAGAAGTGGCTGATTTTGCATTGTCTAAGCGGATTCCGCAAATTTAAACTGATTTCCAAGAAGTGGCTGATTTTGCATTGTCTAAGCGGATTCCGCAAATTTAAGTTACCTCCGTAACTTTTTTTATATATTGCATTAAACCAGTTCCTGCATGAACATTTTAAGTTTGTAGCTGGAATTAGAATCTAGCAAAAGCGCAATTTAAAAGCAAGAATTCCACAAATTACGCGTAGATTCCACAAATTGCTGCAGATTCTGAAAACTTTGTTGCAGATCTGCAAAACTGGCTGTTTTGGAGCAACTTTGAGCTATTCGTGGAATCCAAAAGAGCAGAGAATATCAAGGAAAAATATCAATGTCCTGGAATCCGGAACAAAGCTGTTTTCGGCCTAGTGCGGAATTCGCTTGCAGTTCAAAAAATGCACAGTTTGGCCCCGTAATGATTCTTGGGTTTAATCTGTACTTGGTTTTCATGGTTCTTGTAATTGTTTGAGGTTTTCCAACGCCCAAGTCAGATATGAATACTTTAGGGTATTTAGCTAAAAAAAAACATCGACGGTAGCCTAGAAGGAAAAGTTTGAAGCACATCTTTACCAGAACGTTGAACTGTTAAAGTCGTAAGTTTGGAAATTCAAAAAGGTTGTTAATAAGTTGTATTGTAGACAAACTGTTAGGCATCAAATCGAAATCTTACTGCACTCTTTTATTTCAGATCCCATCGGACATTAGAGATCGCAAGGTCAAGACAGCAGGTCCCCAGACAGAAAGAAGAATTGATAGCACTTACATAAACTCAAACTGGTGTCTATCTAGAAGAATTGATAGCACTTACATAAACTCAAAACTGGTCCCTATATCATTCGGGCAACCACAAATAAATTTTAGCGTAGATAAAATTTATCAACTTTATGTTACTGTATTGTATTATATAAATGTACTAGTTGAGTTTTTAGTTTTGTTGAGTTTTCTCACCCGCCAAACCTCTCTTAAGGTTACTTTTCTTCTTTTATCGTTTTGTCGATTCCATCATTTATGTTCTATGCGGTGGATCATAACCCCCCCCCCCATTTTGTCTACTCCGCGTCTCTGCCGTGTTGATTTTCGCGTCGCCGCTTCGTGCTGATTTTTATTGCGTCTTCCACCGACGGGTCGTGGTGAGTTCACACTAACCGACGGTACATCCTGTCCTTCGTTCGTCGCACCTAGGGTAGGTTCCCTTCGGCCGATTTCCCACTCACTGTCGTATTCGTCGTCGTCGTCTTCGCTCTCGTCCGCCGAGTATTCCACTATTCGTTGCTTTGTTGCTTTTCTTGCATTTTCCATTGCGGCCCGGTCCTTTTCCGCTTTTCGTTTATATTTGTTCGAATCGCTTGAGGCTGGTGTACTGGTCACGTTCCTACTTGGTCCAGGGATGCACTCCTCGCTTTTATTCCCAATTAGGCCTTCTTCAGCCGCTGATCTAAAAGACACACCACTCCGCCTTAGTAACGACCCTTTTTTCATTTGCACCGTATGTTCAGTCATTTTGTCAATTTTTAATGGCAAACGTTTATACCTCCTTGGGTCCTTTGGATCCGTCTTCCCGGTCCTTTGATACACCGTCGTAGAACTTGCTTTATGCCTTTTCAGCCATGTTGGGGTCTTGGGTGGGCCTGGTTCCTTGGGGTTCACAACTTCCGGAGCCATGGGATCCGCTACCTCGTCATCGTCCAACATGATTGGAGCTTTCCTATTTTGGGGGGCGAACACTAAGTCACTTCTCTTCTCCCAATCTAAGGTAAGTTCAACATCTGGGAGGTTTCCCGCCTTGTCTAAACAAGATAACTTTTGATTAACGACATTGTTCCAATTTAGGTTTTTTTAATGACGGCCTTTTCGTTAAGTTTCGCAGTGCCGTATTAGCTTCTCGACCATGGTATGCTTCGAATGGCGTTAGTTTAGTTTTAGAGTGTGGCACGAAACGTAATGCACTAAGCGCACGGGAGATCATCTCCCCAAACTTGTAGTTCTTATTTTCCTGGAGATAAGTCAACACGTAATTTTTTATCGACCCAAAAGTCCGTTCAACCATTCCTGTTGCACGATGGTCCCTAACCGGAGATTTAATAAGTTCAATACCTTCGTAGTTACAGAAGTTTTGTATTTCGTTAGAGAAAAACCCCGTGGCTTGATCCATGTGCAATTTCCTTGGGTGTCCATGAGTATTTATGTACTTCCTTAGGAATTTCAATACACTTTTTGATTTGTTGCTTGAACAAACATACGCTGACGGCCAATGCGAGAAAGTATCTACTGCTACAAGTACATATTTTTTTCGACCCCTAACATAGTTTACTGGACCCCAGAAGTCTAATTGGACCAAATCATTTGGTTCCTTAGGATTGTACGTTTCCCCCATATCATTTTTGGGAATGTCTGGTTTAAGGTTTTTACCTGCTTCTACACAACTTTTGCAGTATTTGGCTGTGGTCGCGATATTTCGGTGCATAAGAGGAATCCACACGTCCTTTGCCGCCGCGAACATCTTATCCCTCCCATGATGGTTATAATGGAGACGATTTAGAATTGCTGATGATAGGTCCTTCGGTATCGCTAACCGGCCGTCCATCCACAGGCAATTCTCCCTTACTGCGAAATCGTTGTAATGCTGGGCGTAGTATTGTCCTAATTTTGTAATAATCTCCTTTGCTCGTGGGTTCCTGTCTCTGATGTTGTCTCGGATGGTCTTCATAATTGGGTCTCTTTCAATGTTTGCTTCGATTAATTTTAAATTCAAAACTTCTGGGTGTTCAATTTTCTTCACGATTCTACTATCCGACGGCACTATGGAATAGATCCATTTTTCATTTTGTACAAGTGGGTACGATAAACCGGGGAACTGATGTGGAAAAGATATAATTGTATTCAGTTTTTTAGAATTAGTTTGTTTAGTATCAAGTTTTTCAGGTGGTATCATTTCAATATCGGAATCCGAGCTAACGCTGGGAGGTTGACTTAGACGGTTTAACACAACATTTAGATTAACATTTCCCGAATTAGTTGATGTATTGACTATTGCCGAAGTTGGAGGGTCATACTTTTCTGGCGAATTACTCATGTTATTTCTCCCAGAGTTGCTACTGTATTTTTTCAAAGTAATTGGCTTTTCACTATAATCTTTACTACTGTAAATTTTCAAAGTAGGTGGCTTTTCACTGCAATTTTGTAAGATGGATGGTTCGCACTTATAATTTGTTGACACCGAAGGTTTGTACTTGTAATTTGATGAAATGGAAGGGTTTCGAGGGTATTGAATAAATTTTTTGTTTTGGCAACTGTAATTTAAGCAATGAGAACAAAGTCTGAATGTATGCAAATATCTCGACGCTGATTGGTTAACCGTCGGTTGCATGTAAACACGCCCTCTATTGAGCGTTTGTGAATATTTGCATAATTGTCTGTTCTTACATTCTTATTGGATGAAACTGCTTTCGCTGTGTCGACACATGACTTTACGCCCCCTACCGTCGGTTTTCGCTGAATGTTGTTCACTTCTTGACCCCTAGGCTTCATTTTGTCCTTAGGCTCCAACGCCGCGTTTATCATTCTTATCTTTGCTACTGTAAAATTTTCATCGTAATGGCTCGTCTCGGGTGCCTCTGCGGACGGAAACCGAGACAGATAGTCAGCCATCCCCATTTTTGACCCTTGTCGATGTTCAACCTTGAAGTCGTATGGCACCAGACGATCATACCAACGAGTTAAGCGACTGAAAAATGTTTTGTTTCCTTTTGGTGACGAATTTAACAATGTGAGTAGCGCTTTATGATCAGATATCACTGTGAAATATCGACCGTATATTTAATTCCGAAAATGTTCCGTGGCCCACACTACCGCGAGTAATTCCAATTCGTTTGTGGAGTATTTTTTCTCAGCCGGATTAAGGTAACGAGATGCAAACGAAATCGGGTGCCATCCGGAGGCGCCATACTGTTCTAAAACGGCCCCTAGGCCATCGTGGCTAGCGTCACAAATGATTCTAGTTTCACGGTGAATGTCGAAATGTCGTAATTCGACGATATTTTTCACAAGCGATTTCAATTGTTGGAACGCATTTTCGCACACGGGCGTCCAAACAAAATCATTATTTTGGCTCAGTAGTGGCCTTAACGGTGCGCTTAACTCGGCAAGTTTGGGTAAAAATTTGTGTAAGCTATGTAACGAACCCATCAAGGATTTCAACTGCTTTCGAGATTTCGGGGTTTTCAAGTCTTCTACAGCTTGTGTTTTTCTTACTAAGGGCGTTATACCACTTTCCCCAATTCGAAATCCAAGCCAATCGCACTCAGTTTTCGCAAATTCGCATTTTCGCAATTTTAACGCGACATTGGAGACGTCCAGCTTTTTCAATATCTTTTCCACTAACGCAATGTGTTCGATTTTTGTTCCTTTTGAAGCGATTAAGATATCATCAATAAACGCGTTAGCCTGGAGGAACTCCTTCAGTAAATTATCTATTACCTTCTGGAATTCCGCCGGCATAGACGTAAGTCCGTAAAAACCGTTTTTAAAACGATAACTCCCCGTGGATTTTCCGCCGACTAATGAGAAATTGCATTGCTCGCTTGTTTTCTGTTCTAATGCGACTTGTCCGTACGCATATGTGAAGTCCAATGTTGTAAAGTATACATTCCCCGATTTTTTCTCCGCAATAATCTGACTTACTCCGTCAATTAATTCGTCAATATTCGTCATCTGGTACTTATTTTTGTGTACCTGTTTATTCAATTCTCTTGATTCTAGTGCTAGTTTTATGCTTCCGTCCTTTTTTACTGTAATGACGATAGGAGAGACGAAATACTTATCTGAGCACTCTTGTAATTTTATGATATGTCCTTCATTCATCAGCCGATGAATCTCTTTATCCACCTTTTCTTGTAGACTGATTGGCACCCTACGCCCTTTTTGTTGTATGGGCTTCAAATTTTCAAAAAATTCAGCTCTTACTTTTGCATTTCGGATCTTCCCTATCCTAGTAAATAAATTTGGGTACAATTTACAGAAGTATGTTTGCAATTCGTCGTATTCCTCCTCCTCTTGACTGGTCCCTTCCCCTGTGATTCCCATCACTTTCTTTCTTTGAACTAGCTCGAGACCCAGGGTGCCCATCAGGTCGCGCCCGAGGATTGATTGATGATTTCCGGATATTATTGACACCCGCGCTGGTGCTGCCCAGCCATTTAGCGACATCATCACTGTTACCTTCCCTAGTATGTTTATTCGATTGTTGTTGTAATCCAGAAATTCCTCCTTTGACGGTTGTAGTTGAATGTTTGCTTTTCCTAACGTTGTTTTTAGGTCGTTCATGCTGAAAATAGTTACTGGAGATCCACTATCTATCCACAACCACATCTTTTTACCTGACACCTCCACTTGAACGCGGGCCCCAGGGATCTTTAATTCAGTCTCATTTTTCTTCCTTTTTATCGACATTGCCATGTAGTCATCCGATCCCGACGTCATGGACTCGTTTTCCCCACACCCCTGCTGATTCACCCACGATACTGGGTCTTCGTTCAATTCATTTACGTTCTGCGTACTTTGATGATGCTCATTTTCCTCCCTGACCAATCCGACTCGTCCACGTCCTCTCCACTGGTTAGTACCCCTTCTAATTCCTCGGCATGTTCGTTCAAAGTGTCCCAGTTTTCGGCATGAGTTACATGTTGCTCCTTTTGCAGGACAGCTCGCGATGTGGTCCAGGGTAAAATTTGGCGCGTCGCAATTGTAGCACCTACGGTTATTTCCGCTTCCCCCACTACTACTTGATCCTTGGGTATATCCTCCACGTCCCGCACGTCCTCGGCCTCGAAAAAATCCTTGTCCCCTTCTTATATTATTTACTGGTTCCTGTTTTATTGAAATTGCCGGAGCTGATGATGCTGGTTTTCCCGTATATGATTTGTATGCGCGCTCACCACGTTCATATGATAAGGCGATCCGGTAAACTTCCTCTGGTAACTTAGTTGATCGTGACAATTCTCGTTGGCAGTCCGATTCCCGCATATTCATAATGAAAATATCACGAACGTTTTCGGCCGCGTTGGCAAAATCACATCTTCCTGCTAGGGCACTAAGTTCCGCATGAAATTTTTCGAAAGTTTCGTTCTCACGTTGTTTTCGTCCGTAGAATAGTCCCCGCTCATGAGTTACATTCCTTTCACGTTGAAAAACATTTTGCATCTCATCTAGAACCCGTGGGTACCGTTCAGTTTTAATGTTAACCGTCGGTTTCCGTGCTTTGAATATCCGTTGCGCCTCGTCTCCGATACATAGATATAGATTAGACTTTAACTTCTTTTTCGACTCGAGACGGTTTTTCCCATTTACTTCTTCAGGCAACGCCGTGATAGCCGCCGCATTTAGAGTACTCGCAAAATAGAAATCATCGGGATCAATGTCGTATTTTGCTATCATCCCCCAGTGAAATTTAATTATCCACTCCTCCCAATATACTGGAGGTTCCGGCGTTCGTGTTTCCCAAAATGCTACTATATTTAATGGATTTTTCCCCCTCCTTTTTTCTCTGCTGGCTGCGCCATGTTAAAGTCGTAAGTTTGGAAATTCAAAAAGGTTGTTAATAAGTTGTATTGTAGAAAAACTGTTAGGCATCAAATCGAAATCTTACTGCACTCTTTTATTTCAGATCCCATCGGACATTAGAGATCGCAAGGTCAAGACAGCAGGTCCCCAGACAGAAAGAAGAATTGATAGCACTTACATAAACTCAAACTGGTGTCTATCTAGAAGAATTGATAGCACTTACATAAACTCAAAACTGGTCCCTATATCAGAACCATGACACACTTTTTGGTCTAAAAGGGATCCATGAGGTTGAACAGCTATTCGTTTTCCGTTGAGTTAATCGAGAAGGAGAAATATTCCATTTTGCATTTTGCGAACTGAAGGGCTACTGAAATATGTATAGCTTAAGACTGGCCAGCAAAAAGACAATATTCTGCCTTAAGCTCTAAACCAAAGACTCAAATGAAATTTGATTGACCACTTCATAGCAAAATATAAATTCATTAGCCTATTTTTTTGCATTCCAATTTGAAGTCATTTTTTACCAA